TCATAGCTAGCCTAAACACCTGGTCCTTGTTTTAGACATATCATTCTACCATCTTTTGACCCTTGCAAATTAAGCAACTCCTCAAAAACGGTACAAAATCAAGAGGCTTGTTCCGCTTGAAGGTGTCTTGGATGCTGAGGGTGATGCTAGAGAACATGTTCAAAGAGTCTCGTTCCCACCCAAACGAATCGAATACACCCTTCTCAAGCAGAAAGCGTATCGCACTTGCAATAAAAATCTTTGCGCTGCCCAAATAAACGTTGCGCATAAAGTCATAGACTGTGCTATGCAGAGTCCAGCCTGCAACTTCGTGCCACGGTGATGGATGGTGCGTCGCCATGTATGTTGAATGGTTTATTTCGGTCAAAGCATACGGCGGGTTTTCACACATGTTTTTGAAGTTCATCCGCAGGTCGGCGTTCTTGGCCGGCTTCTGGGCCACGCAAAGGTCACACAACCTGCAGCTAAAACAAGGGAAACAATCTGCCTTGGAGTACGCCGCACCAAACAGATAGGTACATTGTGGAAATCAAGTCTATCAAAGCTTTTCTCAACGCTGGCCCGAAACAAAGTGCAACTGTACCATCTAGTGAAGCCATGGACTTCCTTGCGAGCTTTCAGATCGCCCTTCCAGCAAAAGTAGAGGGCCCTCAGCGCAGACCAAGCAAAGCCCACATGTTTGCCAGGCTGTTTAAAAAGAACACAAGACCTAACAAAACTCACAGCTGGTCCAAGTTGAGAATCCTGTACCCCCGGGCCAACTTTTGCCCACTCCACTGCGACCGCCACGTACCTTTCTCAAAAGCCTCCCCATAGAAACCTTTGGTCGGAGCCACACCTGATTGAGCAAACTTCATGCTCCAAGCGCAAACTTGGGCAACGATCTTGCTGACACCATCTTTTACCTGCGGGAGTCACCACGCGACTGGGCAAGGCTATCAAAATGTGTTGGGTGGAAAACTGAAACCTATACCAACCATATTCTAATTGCAAGAATCTAGCGACAGCCTTCTGCTGCATGTCCTTTTCGGCCACTATCAGCAATGGAAAGCGGTAGAGAAGACAATCAGTGACTAGGCCTTTCCCTGCAAAAGCACTGCTGAATGAATAAACGAAGTATTCTGAGTCTCGATACAGTTCTGCCCCATCAGCATGAAACTGTAGCGCGACAACCTTTGAAAGGTCTTGCGACCTGTCCTGCAATCCTGGATGGTCTCGCCATGGGCCCAACCCCCTCAAATGGGTCCAGAAGGCTGCAATGGTTTGGGGGTCACGGTTTCCCAACATAAGGCTCTCAAACATCAAGTCCGCATCACACATCGCCAGGGCATGAAGGACTTCATGTGGAAGAAGGACGTCCATTTTGACAGTCACGCTTTTCACACCGTTCACCTGCACATAAAAAGGGAACCACAACAATCGCACCCCATGTATATACAACTACGATTTAGCACACATAAGCAAAACAAAACTGTGTCACCCAACCTTCAATGGAACATCAATGGAATACGCTTGAAGCTGCAATCCAAAAAGGTTGCGCAACCATGTATGAAGGTCCCTCTCACACTTGGACTGGCAATCGCCAAAAGCACCCAGACTTGCCAGTTTGGAGACCGTTTCATTCTCAACTCCATCCTGTAGCACCGCCCTAGCAATGTCTGTCGCGCAAGAGATGTCAATACGGCCACGGCCAACTAAAGTGAGAAGTTGCTCAACGCAGTAGCTCCAAGTCATCTCTTCTATCTTGCGACGCTTCGAAGACCTACCAGCTTGAACGCCGCATGCAGGGAAACTGCAGAGGACAACACAAAACCACACGAAACCCCCAATATGCTTGGTGAAGTTTTGAGAGAACATGTGAACAAAGGGTCTGCTGACATGTGTGTGAACTCTGAATGAGCCTGCTCGATGATGCACTCACCATGCTCAGCAGGCTAGAACCTCCACACGGGAGCGCCATATGTGACTTCTTTTTTGTTTGAGTTTTTACATGTTTATAGAGTGATCGCAGGAAAGATTTACAGGGGCTGAGATTGTACAAGTCTTGTCAAAGGACCTTTGGTAACACTGCCTAATGAGCCCAAATCAAGGAACAGCTTTCAGCCACGAGTTTGGACCGGTCACTGTTTTCACTCGCTGATTGCAAACGTCAGCCTGATCCAAGGAGATTGATCTGCCGTGGATGGAAGCAGCCGTGCATTCCATGAGGCAGGACACTGGCCAACAAAGAGACTGCAAAACAACACAAAACACCGATTCTGTTATAACATTTTATGACGTTGTCATTGTTCAATATCAGCTAGCCCAGTGTTGGGAGATGGTGTCAGGCAACCCCTACAGACAAACCATGTGGTTTGCACATACCCCAGCGTCTCTGTGATGAAACGCCTCTGCCAAAACTAACTATTTGGGCTTTCGCCCGCCTCGGGCCTTTTTTGGTGCAGCCTGTTCAGCTCCATCAGCGTCCTTTTTCTTGTTCTTGGCCCTCTTTAAGCCCGACAAAATGGAATCAGCCGCAGCCTGCAGGGCAGAGTTATAGGTCGGTCCACAAATGAACGTGGATTTGTTGTTGATTTTTGAATTCTTACATTTAGCATGTCATGTCTGCATATTACCAACAAAGACATGTAATTCGAGGTCGTTTCCAAAGAGGACCAAAGTGGTTTTTGATGGCATCATTTAGCCTTTTGTCCCTGTGTGGTGAGACTTGTTTAGGCGCAGCCAGTCCTGAGCAGTGACAAACCATTCTCGATCTTTGGAAATGACATCAAAGGCCTTCTTGTAGAAGTGCTTGTCCTCAACTTTCTTCTTGGTAGCGTTTTGGAGGGTCCTGTAGTGCTTCTCCATCTTCACTGCATGGGCTAGCAATTCGTTTGCCAGCTCGCCAGCATAGTTGACCTCCCCCAAAGACATGCTCTTTTTGCGGGCGCTGGTGCTTTCAGCCAAGACCTCAGCCATGAGATCCACAGCCTTCTCAGGGTATGTCTTGGGCTTTGCAGGTTCAGACTTCTCGGCATCGGTTTTAGGCTTTTTTTGCTTGGGCACAGCTTGAGCGCCTGCTTCACACAGTCCATCCATCAAGGCCTTCTGGCCAGCGGGGTTGCTGCAACCCATGGCTGGCAACGCGCCTGCCTGCAACAAGCCCTCATTGGGATCAATCAAAGTCTTGACCATGTCACCGTCAAGCTCACCTTCACCTTGCAAGGTGGTTGCTTCAGTGACTTTGTCCCTGCGGCTCAGCTCACGAGCTTTCTTCATGTAGTAGTAGCGCTCAAGTGGGTCGTCGGCGAAATCTTCGTGATTGTAAAAGAGACCCGCCGCCTGCCGCTTGGCCGTCAGCCTTCTCCTTGCCGTATTCATTGACCAGGGCTTTGCCCTGGACCGCAATCCAGCCGGCAAGGGCCTCATTGGAAGATGAATGGGTCCTCTTCATTATGAGGCACACTTTGCTCCACACCCTCCCAGAGTCCAACCATGCCCCAAAGAGATCGGTCTTCCCCTTTGTCAGGTAGCCGGAGAGCTCCGCAGGGAACACCTTCCTATTCTGACATTGCCGGCAAAAAGCATCCCATTCAACCTTGTGCGTAACAGAGTTACGCACTGCAGGCGCAGTGGCCTTGGCCACATCAGCAAGTTCAGGTTGCTCATGACCTGCTGCACGCTCTTTGGCTTTCTTGCTCTTCTCTTTCTTCTTCCTTTCATTCTCGTCCTCCTCCTGTTCTTCCTCCTCCTCTTCCTCCTCACTCTCAGAGCTCTCGTTTGCTTCAAAGGTCTCATCATCCTCCTCCTCCTGGTCCCCCTCCTCCTGATCATCGCCCCCGTCTTCCTCATCGCCATCATCCTCATCATCCTCTTCCCCCTCAGAACCACTGTCTTGAGGGGACTCTTCGTGGGGTTCCTTCTTCAGGGCTGCTGTGAGGTGTTGGTCAAGACTTTCTTCGCTCTCTGAGCCACTATCGCTGGCGTCTTCTGCCTCAGCTTTCCTCAAGCCCCGCAACTTCTGTTCCAACTCCTCCAAATTCACTTTCTTAGCCTTCTTTTCTTCTTTTGAACGTTCATGACTTGTCTTCCTGAGCGCTGATGGGCGTGTGAATGGCGTAGTAGTCATCTGCCCATGAGCTTTGGCAGCTTTGTTCGAACCTGTGCTGGTGCTGCGGTTGTCCTTCTTCCTATCCTCACGTGCATTTCTTTCCACTTCTTTTGCCTTGGTCTTGGACATGCGCTTGTTCTTGTCGACCTTGGCAACTTTCTTTTTGGTCTTGTCCTTGGCCGCTTGTTTGATGAACCTCGGATCTCTGCAAAGTGGAGCGCTCTTCCCACCTGCCGCAGGTGGGCCCTTGGTGTGGTAGCGCAAACGTGGTGCCTCGGGCTTCCCCATGGAGGCGAAGGTGGGTCAAAGCAAAGGCCTGTGAAGACTTTGAGCTAAGTGATATCCCATCGAAGATACAAATCGCACGGTTGCAAATCGCACGACGCGGTACAAATCGCACGACGGTATGCAGGAAGACTCACAGACATTCACTGCTTTTGATTGGACCATGCAGTAGATTTGGTTGGTAGACTTTTTTGGTAGATTCTGAGATGCAGTCTTTCGCTGAAACCTACAAATCGCACGATTCTCGCCAAATCGCATGGTGATTCTCTCCAAATCGCACGTTGATAGCGACACAGCTTTCCCAAAAAACTCTGGAGGCACCTCGCTTGAAAGCTCGAAGATTGCTGCTGTTCTCCTGGCGTCGCGCTGGCACGGTGGGCGCTGCTATAGCTTTCGCTGCTGGCGGTGCAGGAGAGCTGTGGGGACATGTGGGGAACAGAGTTTAGAAAGAACTGCACTGCCATGATGACTGGGAGTTCAATTTTTTGACCCCCTCGCCAAGTCAAACTCCCCACACAGGCCTTTGCAATGTGCAAAGCGCGCAGGTAGGATCTATCTCATTGCAGAAAAGCTATGGATGTCTCCACGCTTCATTAAAGCATGTCCCAAAGGGGTTGCAGCCAAACTAGCGTGTCCTGGCTGCTAGGTAGCTAAGAACAGGGCCCAAATTGGCATGCTTCATCCAATGGGCGTTGACTGTAGTCCTCTCATCCACATTATGCTGCGTTCTGGACGCCAGCTTCAGGAGCCTTTTGGCTTGGCGGCGCAAGGCCTGCTGGTTCCTGGACCGTACCCTGGACAAAGCCTTGCCAAACCTTGGTGGACAAGTCAAGTGGTGGCCCAGAATCCCCATTCTTCAAGTGTTTGTGCAAATACGCTCGCGCGCAAAGAGGAACATTAAACTTGATGATTTGACTGCATATAGGCTCATTGGTTCCTAGCGTTTTGTCTCTTTCCTTCGTGTGCCATCTAAAGAACCATGGGAGGACTTCTGACCACACAAAAAACCTTTTAGCAGCAGGGAAACCCTTTCGGGTAATGTTGGCTAGCTTTGAGGTCAGCTCCACCCTTGCAGCGATTCTTCCCACTCCCATCTATGTACCGGATGGTCATCTGAGGCTGCTGGTCTGTTGGACCAGTCGCAGGTCGACGCTCAGCCAGCATTTGGTCGATCTCTTGGTGGCCTTGGCTGAACGGGGATAAGGTCAGGTTGGGGCCACGCAGGGAACAGAGGCACCAGTCTGGGCGCTTGTGTTGACACTTATTTGAAGCCTGCGATGCTCATGGATTTGCATGGTGTTCAACAGGTTGCTTCAATAAACTAGATTCACAATTCAGAACCAGAAATGTTATTCTACAATGTATGAAGAGCCACTGGAATAGAGAAGTGTTGATTTTCGCGACGCTCCTCCAAAGTCAGACATTCGAATTCCCAACCGCCTGATGTTCATCATGGCCATGACCCTCTGGAAAGTCGGGTGGAGGTGCATCAAAGATGTACTTGGTTGCTCGAGAATGCTCCACACACCACGAGTGGCTGCCAAAAGCAACAATATGCAAACCCGGGCTGTCATGACATTGCCATTCCTGACAGCTTCTGAATCAGGCCGGCCTAATGGCCTAGTTGGGCTCCTCTTTGTGCTCCCCCTTGACCTGTGGGCGGGCGTGTCTTGAGGCTTGTGTAAATTAAAAGGAACAACAACCACCCCCTTATAAACCTCTTTATATATTCCATACATCTCTCTTGGAAAGGAATGGTTCTGAGTCTTGCGCAAATTGCCGACCACAATGACTACAAAACAAAAATCTTGTTCGAGCGAATGAGGGGCATGAAGACCCAAGTCGAACACACAGGCGCGTGTAGGGACCCTGAACCTGGTTCCAAGCGCAGCGTTTGGTACACTGCGTTCGCAAAGCCCCACGGCAAAAGAATATCCTGGCCCTGTGGGTCAAGATTGATCTCAAACGGCACCGCTTTTCTCCCAGCCTTGAGGGGTTTACAAAACAGGTATGTTTTGACGTTTCCCATTGGTGACAAAAGACCCCCACAAGTCCTCCTCTACCAGCTGAAAACTGATGTTTTGGAGGGGCTAAGGGAGGACTTGTGGGGGTCTTTTTTCATTGACCACAAAGTGGACACCAACCATTTTTCTTTTCAAACAAAGATTGAAAGGGTCACCCAAACAACATTGTTCTTGTGGTCCCTCACCTACCTGGGCCTCAGCGTTTGTCACTGCCATCTCACCGGCAAAAGTCTCAAAGTGTTGAATCGGTGACCAGTCTAGACCTGGCGTGGAGAACACCAGCGCTGCCAAAAGCGCGATGACCTGAAGCGAAACCAAAGGTACATGGTTTCGGGCTTCAATTAGATATGAGTGTCACCACACCCCTCTCCAGTTTCAGACTTGGTTTAGAACCGTTGAATCGCCGTTGAAAAAACCAGCTCAGGACCTATGAACGGTGCAAATCATTGCAAAGCAACTGACGGCGCTCGCATATGCTTGAGCCCTTGGAGAACCCATGCACGCTGCTTGTCCTTCATGGTTCGCGGGACCGTTTTCTTTGCCTTCTTGGCAAAAGGCATGGGTGCAAACCTACGGCGCCCCATCGCTCAAAGCACGTCTAGCTTGGAACAAGCGCCTGTGAACCTGAGCCGAACCTCTATGGGGAACACAGGCGATGTTTGCTTGAAGCTTTGGGCTTCTGACCACGCAACAGTTCCAAACACCAATGTCCATACATGTCTATACTATGTTCGTTGCGCACGCCAAACTAACAGGGCACGGTTGTCAAGAATTCCTTGATCTTGAAAGAACTCCACCACATCAAAAAGATATCGATGAGCAACCAACTTCCACCCCAATGCGAGCGACAACACTCGCAGTCATCCTGAAGGCCCCGCATGTGTAGTACTCCCTGGTATCCTGCATCATCACAAGGAAAAGTCAAGGTTAGCTTCATGCGCTGTATCAACACTTCAGTGGTCCATGGGAGAAAGTGGCGTCATGGTTCTGTGTCGCTAATGTGACCATGGCTTCAGCCCACAACATGTGCCCTTGAGGTCTATTCTTGCCGCTCGCGGTCCTCAATGGTCAAGCTCTAGTGCCAGCAGCAGGCCGCTCAGCAGCGAAAGTGATGGCCTTCCGAGAGTTTTTCAACGATTAATGTAGTCATGTTGCAACGCTCGCTCAAGCTTGCCCACATGAACCGCATGAATATTTTGTTTGAAAGCTTTGAGTAGCGCTTGACATTGGGCGCTCGTTTGGGACTGGGGGTAGTGGGCAAGCCTCCCGGGATGTTCACCAAGAAGCCGCAATCGCCGCCGCCATGAGGTCACCTCCAAAACATCGCTTCTCTGGTTCTTGCACAGGAAACTTCGAGCATTGCCTGTTGCTAGGCAGCATTGTTTGCGTGAGCCGCCTATGTAATCACTAAGTACTACTGCCAGATTCTTGCACGGCACGCCCTTTTTGACATGTTCGGCGATGCTTCATGAGTTGCATGCTGCCGCTATGGAACCTGTGTAGTCAATCCTGACCACCGTCTATGCTCCATAGGCGCGAGCCCCCACCCCACTCATGACACCGAAGGTTGTTCCTTCAGTCTAAACTAAAGCGTCAGCACTTAAAGTGTGCGCGCGCCTTTGCAACCTCCCAGGCTGCTGCTGGGCCACCATGTTTGCTCCAAGTGACTTGCCCACACTTTGCCATGTTTGGATCAGGGTGGGCATCACCTATTTTCTTCATAACGTACGCACGCTTGGTGCATAAAACCTCCATAACCTGGGCTTCAGATTTGGACAATGAATGACTGCAAAAGAAACATCTTTAAAAGTTGAAGGGAGAGGGAAGAAGATCCATTTCTTCTAGGTGTGTCTTGGAGTTTTTATTTGGGTGTCTAGACGTAGGCTTGGACCAACCGCCCCTATGTGAGACCCTCAAGATCACGCAAAACAAAACTTGCCAGATGAACGAGAGACTGCGTTCGTTTTCGGGCAGGAAAGCGTGTAGCCGTGCTTCCCCTTGTTCTCTCGCTGGGAAGTGGGCCACGCAGCAGAGGGTACACCAAGGGCTTTCAAGTCAATCCCATTCCAAACCTGACAGGTGGCACCTTTGGTCTCCTTCTTGTCCTTCAGGTGCTTCTTGTGGACGGCCTTGGAGGCGCTTGCCTTCACCTTCTTCTTCTTCTTGTTCGATCGGTCCTGGGCGATGTGTTTTGCGAGGCTTCCCCCAAAAAATAAACTCTGACCGCACTGTTTCTTTGTATAAGGGTTTCGGTACGAAGGGCAGGTATGACGAATGGATCAAAATGACACCATTCACAGCTTTCGGGTCAAATGGACACCAACCCTAAAGGACTGTGAGCGCGTGACAAAACTTACATTTTTGTGGCAAAGGAGCCAGGTGTTGTTTTCCAGGGACTTCAAGGTCACCGTTCATGCGATCTCGACTTGAATCGAACTCCAAAGGATTGATAGCAGGACGACCCTCAAGACCATGTGCAGCGGTGTCCTGCAGGGTTGTGTACGGCTGGTGGCCACATATCTGACTTGACTTGTATTCAACAATCATAAGACTGAAAACTTGCTGACTCTGGTCAACCCCTCACACTCGCTCCTGCCCATTCTGCGATCGAAGTGGCGCAGCAATTGGCCTCGCAGGCATTGCCTGGAGCAGGGTGATTGAGTAGGCGCTGAGAAAATGAAGAGAACGCTAAAGAGCTGCGTGCGTCAGTATATACATATGTTTAGCACTATGTTTATTTCAAAAAACTTGATTACATACTGTTTGTATTTATGAAAGAGTTGGAGCGCAATCGCTCAAATTTGATCAAATCAGAACAACATCGGTCATGTCTTGAAGATGGGTTTCCTCACCTGCCTCCCCAGAGTTGGCACTGCGAAACACTTGCCAATGATTGGCCGTGCATAGCTTCTCAGTCTTGGCGCTGAAACCATGCTCTCGAAACTGGCTGATGCAGTGCTGGAGATAGTCTTCAAACATAGGGTGCCTCAAGCGCTGTGACACCGACATGGTAGCGGAGCCCTATTACAACAAAACCCAAGACAACGCTGACACAGGAAAACTTGCCACTATATAGAAAACCAAACCGCCGAAGATCAGATTTGCTAAAAGTCCCCTGGTACTCCTTCGAAGGCTTCCTATCCACAAACATCTCATACAATGCCTCGATTGGAACTTGCGTGTTCTCGAGTCGCTCACGCTTGCCAAACTCTTGATAGGCAGAGCCCCACCAAGAGCCAAGCTGGCTGTCTTGAAACATGTTTGACTCACCATCGCTCTCTGGATCGTCGAGCTCCTCGGAGTCAGAAGAACCCATGGCATCGTCCATGGCATCGTCGTCCTCAGCGGCAGCGTCTGCCAACGGTGCTGGGGACTCATCGCCAGACGGCGAACCCACATCCCCCAAGCGCAGCGTGGGAGCATTCAGCGAAGACTCTCCTCCCTCAGACTCAGAATCGCTGCTCACAACAGGCGAAGGCGGCGAGCCCTCAGACACAAGCTGCTCTGCAGGTTTGGCCTAGTCTGCGCACACACGAAAACCGACTTGCAGGGAAGAAAATGAAAGTTGGATTGAGGCAAGAACAACAAACAAACAGACTACCAAACTCAAACCACAGTGACCTTTCGGGGGCTTGGGCGCAGCATCGATTTGAGTTCTGATACCCTGGGATGGTTCCCTGTCTCTGATGAGCGCCAGAGTCCACGAATCGTACTCACGAGCCGCTTCAGCTTCACAGCTTCCTCAGCTGCAATGGTCATTTTGTCCTTCTGCTGGTCCGGGCTCGGGTTAACCAGCAGGTTCCCTTTGAAGATCAAGTCGACGTAGAGAAAGACGTCCGTGAGGAAATAGCCACTGGGCACCTAGGTGGCTGGCAATGAGACTGCCCGCACAGGCCAGGCCTACAACCTCACCCAGCACAAAAAAGGCAAAGGCAAAACTGAGTTCATCATCCATGAAACTTTGTCCGGCGAGTGTTCCAAAACCGGTTTCAGGTAATGGAAATTGGTGGCACACTCAGCTGCATTCGCCCGCTGCAAGGCCGAGTCAACGGCAATGATGTTGCCACCTTTCCACTCACCTCTCTCCAACAGCTCAACCGCCGTCAAGGGCAGCTCACGAACAATGCCGCGCGCAACCTGCGCCACCTCAAGTTCGCCCCATGGAATCCGCCCAGCACCTTGCATGCTGCAAAGTACGGCCATGAGATTCAAGCAAAGGTTGGCCACAAAATAGCAACAAAAACAACCAAAGAATTGTCTTTCAAAAGCCTTGGCGCGACATGACCGCCAAGGCTTCGCGCTCTTCACGAACAACTCGTTCTCCGCTTCCTGTGCCACCAAGACCTGCGCTGGCGGGTCCATCGCCATGACAAAAAGGCAAAACTGCACCCTTCAGAAGCCTGAGCCCTGCCAGCGGTTCGGGCGGCTGAACTGGAATTGGCACGACTGCACTAGCAGATAGCGTCACAAGTCCCTGCCTTCAAGTGCGGCGTGGGAGCTTGGGACCCCCCCAAAAAAGGCCAAATGGCTGCAGGAGCGGCCCCACAGTGCCTCTGCAAGAACACGCGCGCGAACGACTCGAAAAAGTCGGTTCATGGTTTGCATCGTTTCCCTAAAAATATATATATCTTGGGCATTATAACTGACCTTGGCCAAATCTATATTTGAAATAATTTTCCCTTGCAGGCGAAGCAAGTTGTCAAGGGCTGCTGAGCACCCAAGCAGCACACTCCAAACATGCGGTTAATTTTTGCAAGCGCCTAGAGTGTCAGAACTTGACACTTCAAAGCTTGTGGTGACCATGCTGACAACAAGTGCATATACAAAGGGCATGTGGCGATGTTGTTTGGAGAAACGATGCGCAAAGCACATGTTTGGATCCTCCTGGTGTATAGATTTGTTTTGGACGCTGCTTTCTTTGTTTGGCGTGCGCACACGCCGCGGCTGTTTTTGGATCGAGACGAGGGCGAGACGAGGGTGACGCGGGTATAGAGCCGACCGAGTGTGCGTAGACGAGAGGCGCGGACACTCGACGCGTGCGAAAAATCGTTATTATTTGAATATAATATACAGAAAATGCCTTGCGCCGGCCAAGTGGAGCTGCTTTGCTGCGGTGTGTCTGCGTGACGCACTGAAGGTGTTCTTCGGGAACTCCTGGATACACAGGATCTGCGTGATCATGTCGCTGTGCACGAACGGATCTGCGTGATCCTGCCGCTGTACATGCACGACATGTTGGTTCCGGATCTGCGTGATCTGACTTTAAATCTTCGGATCTGCGAGATCCAGCAGCGGATCTGCGTGATCCGGCGGAGATCAGAGCACGGATCTGCGAGATCCAGCAGCGGTCGATGGCGGATCTGCGTGATCCGGCAGGGATGGGAGCACGGATCTGCGTGATCCGGCAGCGGACGAAGGACGGATCTGCGTGATCCAGTTGTATACGGACGGATCTGCGTGATCTGCTGGACCTGGTTGCGCATCCGTGTGATGTGCTTATATATACTTATTATATATATATATATTTTTTTTTCGAAGTATGTATTGTTATTACGCTTCGCGGCTCTTTGTTTCGTGCGCGCGCGTGCCTTGCTGCTGCAGGCGATGGCTGACAAACACCGAGAGGAATCCGAGGCCTCGTGCGCTGCGGAGGAGACCTCGGATGCTGGCCGGGACGCCATCGAGTGTCCAGTTGCCTCAGCTGCAGGAGTGACTCCGTCCGGCAGCTTCGACTTCTTTCTGGCGCCCGCAGCGCCAGGAAGCTTCGCAGCTGCGGCTGGACGCTTCATCTTGGCAGCCCTGTACGCTGCAGCATCGGCTTCTGCAGCATCTTCTTCAATGTCTATTGTCGGTAGCTGCATGCCTGCCGTCTGTGCGGTGGCTGCAGGCGACGCGGCAGGCGATTTTGCCGGAGGCGATGTTGTCGGAGGCGATGTTGCCGGACGCGATGCTGCCGGAGGCGATGCTCGAGGCGATGCTGCCGGAGCCGATGCCGGAGTGTCGCGTTCTTCCCCATCTTGCAACATGAGCGGCCTCCTCCTCCCTCTCTGCTTTGTCAAGGTCAGATTGCAGCCAGTATTATCTTTGTTCTTCAGTACTTGGAACATCTCAGCCATCATGAGCATCGCACGTTCCATTGAAGGCACACCTGTCGTGACAGGCAGTTCAACCTCTGTCTTTTCGTTCTGCGCATGCTTGTCGAAGATCCTCAGTGAAATGCGTACTCGGGCGTCATGTGCTTAGCCTCCAGCATGACACCTGCCGATGGTTCCTTTTCGTACCCTATCTTCCATTGTTCCGGCAAAGAGTCTGGTCGCTCAGGAAACTCACGCACGAGCTGCTCGCCTGGAACCTTCGCGCTGTTTCTGACCTGTGACTTCAAGAATTTTTTGAAGCGATCAAGCAATGCCAGCTGCTCTGTCGTCTTCCTTGGCAACTGCAAACTTAAACCCAGGGCTACTCCAGCCCTGAACACTTCCCTGATCGTGGGTTCCGTTGGAAGATGCAGGCCAATAGATACCTTGGCGCAAATCACAAAACGACTATGAACATCTATGCCCAGGAATACTAATTGATTTGAATTGATATGACCTATAATTCGCTCAAGTACCCTGACAAGAACTGGGATGAATGAAGTAAGCTGAAAACACTACAAAAAACTATTTTGATGTTGTTATATGGTGCACATCAATACACACACACATGCAGCGCAAACATTTGGAAGGAAGCGCAATCTGGGAACACATCTGATGACCAACACATCGACCTTTGAGCTGGGCGGAATGTCAGAGCTCTGCAACTTCAGCACATCTTCTGTTGTGAGAAACGGCGCAAAGTGCTTGCAGGTCTGAGGTGGTAAACCTTGCTGTGTGGGTTCTTCAATGGCAAGTGTGCTCACCGCGTCCTGGAACGAAGCCACCTGCTCCGGTGTCCACACCGCAGCTGAACATAACAATTCACTGACCTCTGTGACGCCGCTCCATGTCAGGCCACTTTCGGAAATGCTCCTACACAGCTGCTTCGCCTGGGCAGCCCTCATCTCGTTGAACCTGGGCTTGCCCTGCTGGGATTGGAGGAACTTCTGAATCTCCTCTATGTTTTTCTTCAACCTCCTGATGCTGACAACCGACAACCATCAAATGTATCGATTGTAACCGTGAGTATCGGCTATATATGGTTATACATATGTATCCGTTGTCAACATCAGATTTAATGACCATGAAGACAAAATAAGAACCACTCTCAAACAGGAAACACATTGTACCATTTGCAACGCAAGAATCTCTGCTGGGGTGGCCATGCTCAGATTGAACGCGCGCACATGGGCAGGGCAAACCAGTCCACTACTGAGCCCGGCCCCTGTGCCCGACACACATGACATAATGTGCACAGGCATGTCGGCATGTCAACCAATTTACAATTTACAACTTGTGAAACATGTGCCAACAGAGTGCTGTGCCTAGTAGTTGGAGCAATATTGATCGTTCCAATGGGGTCTTGCAACTATAAACACATAAACAAACACAATGTTCAAACCTAAGTCAATGAGTTGCGTGTTTCAAACACGTGACCGAATATACTTTGGCCACGCTATATAGTGGGATCTGTGCTCACACATCGTGCTTCTTCGACTGGTAGGTGAAATCAAGCTTCACAAAGATGCACTTGCATTAGTGTTGTGTGTCACCAATGACAACGTCGAGGCAAGTCGTGACTGGCATCACCACACGCAAGGCTCGCCTGGACGCAGTTCTCCATGTACCAGCTTCGAGGATGATGAACCAACCTGTGGGCAGGGCGGCAGCGCAGGCGGTACAACAGTTTCACAAACAAACACCTGTTCCATCACAGCGGATGAACTTGCACTCATATGTACCATGCATGGACGCGCAAGCCTCACGTTTTCTGGGTATCAGTCGGTCAGCTGCGAAAAGCTGTACTGCAGTGCAGGCTTGCCAGGAGCACCTCCTGGTTCGGCTGTCGGCCAACTGAGAACAGCTGGGACTGCCGCATATGGGTGCTTGGCCAGGAGCAACTCCGTTCAGCTGTCACCCAACTGAGAACAGCTGGGACTGCCGCAGGGTTGCCGGGAGTGACTCCTGCAGGCTCATGTGGAACGCCTGGGCTTTGTGAAACTGCTTCACCAAGCCAGTCACTGTCCCTGCACATTGGAGTGGTTGTGAAAAGGAGGTAGCCCATCATTATTGATGGCCAGGATTATACTTGCAGCCTGCCATCTTCTAAGTGAGGGTGTAAATTGATATGAGAGTGCGCACATTTGCATAAATGAGTGTGAGTTGTATATTATATGTGTGTGAGAGGGTTGATGCTGAGGTTTGAGTGTTGAGTTCATAATTGCACACGTCCACCATGGCTGGCTGCATGCCTATTTTTTTTTTGCACGACGTCCCTCAAAGCACGTGCCATGTCTTTCACAGCGGTAATCGTCTCCCGCCGCTCCTCACGCGTCAGCCCGCTTGCCGTGGCTACCTCAGAGCGGTGAAGAACGTCAATGCAATCGTGGAACACACAAAACACACACATGGAGTGATGTGCTGCATGAATTGCATGCGCACAAGCAAACATTGAGCTAAGGGACGTCATTCTCAATGCTGCGCAGCTCCTTCTGAGTTTCCTGTACGAAAGCACAAACAACTCAAGCCAATCAATCAACCACACTGCGCACTGAAACAAGACAACGTGAGCTTCTAGGATGCGCACCGAGAGGCCTTCATCAGGGCTTTGATTCCACCACGTGGCGTTGCCCTCACACGTAACAATGATTGAGCGCGGTAGGCCGAACGTCATCTTCTGGGATCAGCTTTCCGTCAATCAATACCCAGCCATTGCCCAGCCAGGACTCCTGAGCTTGAGCGATCACTTGGGCGATCAATTGGGCAAATAGATGAGTCTGTAAATGATAGACCTGAAGCAATGTACTTATGTGTCTGCAACATTCCACACTATTGCAGTTGCAGAATCACGCTTTGCCTCCCATGCCAGGTGTCCTTCCTGCCCTCATGCCACAGCACCATACCCTCATGAGCCTCCTCCTCCTCCACCACCTCCTCCTTCTCAGGAACATTGCCACCGTTGGCCTCCTCCTGCAGGGCCTGCGCAAGACATGGCATCACATGGCTTCACACGCAGGACCACCAACGTGACATCGCAAGTGGCCTGCGCTTGCAGTTCCATGCTCCTGTACGCCAAGTCCTGCAGAAAGCCCGGCGTCAAGGCCGCCCCTGTGGGAGGCGTGGCATCCTGCGTGCAAGCAATGCAAGCAACAACGCCATAGTGAAACCTGACCGTCACAATTGGAACGAACTGAAGTGGTTCACTGCCCAAACTCTGCATGAAGCCGTCCCACC